GGTATGCCTGGGCAGCCACAAACTAGCATAGTGAGTTAGGGACAGATGTATTGAACTGTGATGTTTGTGTTATGCACTTGTACTAAAAAGCTCAGTAAAGTTTGTTAACTAATTATCATAAGGGTATGCGCTAAAAATACATATATATACACAAATATCACCGTATATTAAGTGTCCAAAATAAATATATTGAGTGTCCCAAAAAATAAATAAATTAGTGTCCAAAACAAATTATCTTCTGTGACTTCACAACACTGTGAAAAATCCACCACCAAATGAATTAAATAAACTCACCAGAGCTATATGCTGATCAAGTTATAGACCAGCAATAGTTCTGGGAATTGGTGAGTGTGTGCACAGACAGAAAGGTACCCCACGTGCAGGGTGAGTGACCCCACTCACTGATTGGTATAGCCCATACACCCCGGGATCAGAACTGTCCTCATTGAGCACAAGAACTAAATACACCACTATCTCCTACAATTCTGCAATCCCCTTGTCTTGACCCTGGTGATAATTAAAATAGAGCTGTGTTCTCCAATGAACGAACAAGGAATTTGCGTTCTTAGAAGGGGGTCAGAAGCTCATATAGTTCTCACAGTACTGGGTTTCTATATGTGTATGTAAAGCCTTATTTGCTTTCTTTGGTCTGTTTAATAAACCATTCAAAGCATTTTGCAATACGTGTACTACAATTGTATAAAAATACATGTTGCTCCTGCCAGAAATCTTGTAAGCTGTTAACTGTGCACTCTGTCTGTGCTAACTATTATCATTCAGAAATGTTATCAGCTATTCCTGAGGACTACAAAACACTCTCCCTCTATATAATGGAGAAGAAGAAAATAGGCGGGGGGGGGGGGGGGGGGGGGTTCTGTAGTCCCTTACTAGCGAGATAACGCTACTTTTCCATATACATAGTACAATGAGTAAGTGATGTCACCCTACGTCAGGAAAACAATATAAGAAAAAGGGCCTGAAAAAAAAAAGAAAACAAATGCAGCTATCACATCTAGTTACTCATAAGCTGCATTATATTGCATTTTTATTCCTGTGTTTACCTACACTTTGAGATAACAAAATTGAAAAACCATTTACACATATGTTATGAGTTCAGGATTTACATTTGTGTCAAAAATCTCAATTTGACAAAGGCAAACACACAAAATCCAGTCTCCAGGATCCAAGGCCAGGAGATGATATAAAGGGAAAAGAGCCTGAAAAAATGATTGCTTTCACCATATCTAAGGTCTTGTAAGCCGCCATTTCACATTCTTATTTTTGATTTCGATTTATATACGTTATAATAGAAACAAAGACAAGTGACGGCCAAAAAAGACCAAGTGGTCCATCAAGTCTGTCCGTTAATTTAAACATGTTTTTTATTTTTTTCTAACTTTTTTTTCTTTGAGTGGAGATCTGTGTTTGTCCCGAGTATGTTTGAAGCCATTTACTGTTGACTGACTTGCCTCAAGTTTTAATATCATAAATAATTCTAGGTTTAAACACTAGAGTTAGGGTGCATTCACATGGGCGATTAGCACGCACTGCGATTTCCAGTGCCAAGAATCTCTTGGCACAGCCACCCAATTACCTGTGTTTTGTATGCGTCCAACCATGTTTACCGCAGGTAATTGTTGGCTAGGTGAACAATCACGTATAGCTGCGGTGGGCATCAGCCTGTCATTGCATTGTACGAGCTTCGCGACCAGGGGTGGACTGACAACTCATGGGGCCCCCGGGCAATAGGGGATCATGGGGCCCCTGTGTCCTTGCCCACACTCAAAAATGCCTATAAAAAAGGTACCAGGGGCATTTCATGGAGGCCTCTACTGACCCTGGGCCCTCGGGCAGTGCCCGAGTGCTCGAATGGTCAGTCCGCCCCTGTTCGCGACTGCATCTTTTCACACACACCTGTTATTTCAGACGCAGGAATCCCCAGATTCTTACCACTGGAGATTGCAGGGGTGTGTTGATAGCCTGTGTGAATGGACCTCTAAGGACAACATATCCTTCTTGTTCTGTTAATATTCCTTGTGTTCGGTGCTTTGTATAGTATTTAGAGATGAGCGAATCGAACTTGGCGAAGTGGAATTCGTTTCGAAGATTAGGAAAAATTCGATTTACGCCGAATCCGAAAATTAGCAAACTTCGGATGCACGAAACAAATTTTCCCAAAAATGGCGGCGACATGTGTGGCGACGGAGCGGGGATCTCTGGAAAGGCGCGCAGACAAGGCGCGCTGACCCATAATGCATTCATTCATGACATGTGATCGCATTAGCCAATCAGCAGCCAGCCAGCCAGCACTGTGTAATGGTGGAGCTATAAATTGCGGCCATCTTAGAATTCTCCATTAGCCTCCAGTCATTCAAGAGAGACAGACCTCTGTGTATTAGGGACAGAGTTAGGGCCACAGAGACTTTAGGGCCACAGAATCGTTACTTAGGGACACAGAATCGTTACTCAGGGACACAGAATTGTTACTCAGGGACACAGAATTGTTACTCAGGGACACAATCGTTACTCAGGGACAGACACAGAATTGTTACTCAGGGACACAGAATTGTTACTCAGGGACACAGAATTGTTACTCAGGGACACAGAATTGTTACTCAGGGACAGACAAAGAATTGTTACTCAGGGACACAGAATTGTTACTCAGGGACACAAAATTGTTACTGAGGGACACAGAATCGTTACTCAGGGACACAGAATCGTTACTCAGGGACACAGAATTGTTACTCAGGGACACAGAATTGTTACTCAGGGACAGACATAGAATTGTTACTCAGGGACACAGAATTGTTACTCAGGGACACAGAATCGTTACTCAGGGACACAGAATCGTTACTCAGGGACACAGAATTGTTACTCAGGGACACAGAATTGTTACTCAGGGACACAGAATTGTTACTGAGGGACACAGAATCGTTACTGAGGGACACAGAATTGTTACTCAGGGACACAGAATTGTTACTCAGGGACACAGAATTGTTACTCAGGGACACAGAATTGTTACTGAGGGACACAGAATCGTTACTCAGGGACACAGAATTGTTACTCAGGGACACAGAATTGTTACTGAGGGACACAGAATCGTTACTGAGGGACACAGAATTGTTACTCAGGGACACAGAATTGTTACTCAGGGACAGACACAGAATTGTTACTCAGGGACACAGAATTGTTACTGAGGGACACAGAATTGTTACTGAGGGACACAGAATCGTTACTAAGGGACACAGAATTGTTACTCAGGGACACAGAATTGTTACTCAGGGACACAGAATTGTTACTGAGGGACACAGAATCGTTACTCAGGGACACAGAATTGTTACTCAGGGACACAGAATTGTTACTCAGGGACACAGAATTGTTACTCAGGGACACAGAATTGTTACTCAGGGACACAGAATTGTTACTGAGGGACACAGAATCGTTACTCAGGGACACAGAATCGTTACTCAGGGACACAGAATTGTTACTCAGGGACAGACACAGAATTGTTACTCAGGGACACAGAATTGTTACTCAGCGACACAGAATTGTTACTCAGGGACACAGAATTGTTATTGAGGGACACAGAATCGTTACTCAGGGACACAGAATTGTTACTCAGGGACACAGAATTGTTACTGAGGGACACAGAATCGTTACTCAGGGACACAGAAACGTTACTCAGGGACACAGAATCGTTACTCAGGGACACAGAATCGTTACTCAGGGACACAGAATCGTTACTGAGGGACACAAAATTGTTACTGAGGGACACAGAATCGTTACTCAGGGACACAGAATCATTACTCAGGGACACAGAATTATTACTCAGGGACACAGAATTGTTACTCAGGGACAGACACAGAATTGTTACTCAGGGACACAGAATTGTTACTCAGGGACACAGAATCGTTACTGAGGGACACAGAATCGTTACTCAGGGACACAGAATTGTTACTCAGGGACACAGAATTGTTACTCAGGGACACAGAATCGTTACTGAGGGACACAGAATTGTTACTGAGAGACACAGAATTGTTACTCAGGGACACAGAATTGTTACTCAGGGACACAGAATTGTTACTCAGGGACACAGAATTGTTACTGAGGGACACAGAATCGTTACTGAGGGACACAGAATCGTTACTCAGGGACACAGAATTGTTACTCAGGGACACAGAATTGTTACTCAGGGACACAGAATCGTTACTCAGGGACATAGAATCGTTGAATTAAAGAGTATGTCAGACAACACGCAGAGGAGTGGCAGAGGAGGCAATGTTTCAGGAGCGAGCAGACGCACTTGGCAGCAGAGGAAGGGGTCGAGGCAGCACTAGTCGCAGCCAGAGGCCAGTGCTCCCGGTGTCATCCAGCGGTCGTGTCTCCACCGACAACCCTGCCGTCATCGATTGGTTGGCTCGGTCGTCTTCCTCTTCCCAGGTCACCTCTGACACCTACAGCCAACGGTCGGTGGGTACGTCAGACACAACTGTTAGTTGGCATGGCCCGGGAGCAAGCCCACTGAAATAACGTGTCCTCTACCTGCCCCTGTCCTTTGGTGTTCCCTCACCAAGCGAAGTATCGCATGCTGTGGGCTCAGCCCCACTGTACAGTGAGGAAGAGCTAACAGAGGGCGGTCAGGAACGGGGGGGGAGACATCCGCCTCTTCAGCAGCCAGGCGAAGAAGTACTGGCGAGGAGAGTGGCTCGGTAGCCGGTCTAGAGACAGGTCTGTCTCCTGACCCACACGCAGCCGAGGGGGCTAGTAGTGAGGCGGAGACCCTAATTGATGATGATGAGGCTGATCGCACTTGGCAGCCTCGTCGTCATCTGCCAGGCCCGTAATCTGCCATGGGCCCCCGTACCGACTCCTCATGCTGCTGCCAGGCCCGTAATCTGCCATGGGCCCCCGTACCGACTCCTCATGCTGCTGCCAGGCCCGTAATCTGCCATGGGCCCCCGTACCGACTCCTCATGCTGCTGCCAGGCCCGTAATCTGTCATGGGCCCCTGTACCGCCTCCTCATGCTGCTGCCAGGTCCAGAGTGTGTCATGGGTCCCTGTACGGCCTCCCATTGCTGCTGTCTCCATCGCCACACTCTGCCATGTGCCACTTTCAGGTCTCCTCACACTGCTGGTGGGTTCCATTTTGTCATAGGGTGCTGGCAGATTACGGGCCTCCCATTGCTGCTGCCAGGCCCGTAATCTGTCATGGGCCCCCGTACCGACTCCTCATGCTGCTGCCAGGCCCGTAATCTGTCATGGGCCCCTGTACCGCCTCCTCATGCTGCTGCCAGGTCCAGAGTGTGTCATGGGTCCCTGTACGGCCTCCCATTGCTGCTGTCTCCATCGCCACACTCTGCCATGTGCCACTTTCAGGTCTCCTCACACTGCTGGTGGGTTCCATTTTGTCATAGGGTGCTGGCAGATTACGGGCCTCCCATTGCTGCTGCCAGGCCCGTAATCTGCCATGGGCCCCCGTACCGATTCCTCATGCTGCTGCCAGGCCCGTAATCTGTCATGGGCCCCTGTACCGCCTCCTCATGCTGCTGCCAGGTCCAGAGTGTGTCATGGGTCCCTGTACGGCCTATGGCAGTATGCTGTGGAGATGGAGGCAGGGAGTCCCTCGCATTCCTTGGCACAAATGGCCCATAGCATGCTCGGTTGCTTGCGTAGCGACACAGCCGAATAATAACCATCAGACAGAGGGATGACTTTTGGCTGTCCACCTTGTTGGACCCTCGCTACCGTTCAAAAATGGTGGCCTTTTTCACACCTGCTGAGAGGGAGGCCAAAATAAACGTACTATAAAAACCACCTATGTAGTCAGTTGGTCTCTGCCTTTCTGCGCCAACGTCCATCCTCAGACACTGTGGGCCCTGTGCGCTCGCGTTCCGCTGCCATGGCAGCAGGGGAGGCGTGGGGTGGTAGGAGCAGTGGCAGCTCCACCAGCAGCAGCTGCCTCAGTCTGCAGTCGATGATGAGTAGCTTTCTTCACCAGCGCAGTGAGGAAACTACTAACCAGCCGCAGCAGCAGCAGCATCAGGTGGACCTGGAGCAGGACCTCAAACAACAGGCTTGGGCCTACTTGGACAGCACCCTGCCAACCGAGGTAGACAATCCCCTTGACTACTGGGCAACGAAACTTGACCTTTGGCCCCAACTAGCTGAATTTGCCCTTGAAAGGCTGTCATGCCCGGCCAGAGTAGCGTGGCATCGGAGCGCGTGTTTAGTGCGGCAGGAGGTATTGTAACTCCGCGGAGGACACGACTGTCCACCCAAAGTGTGGAGAGACTCACGTTTGTGAAAATGAACCAGGCGTGGATTAGTCTGGATTTCAAACCACCAGTTCCTGACACAACTGACTAAATCCGCCATGAATCATGCCCCAAACATGTTATTATTTTGTTAACATAGGCCTCTGTATGGCCTTCAATTTAAGCTGCTTACGCTTCGCCACTCTGCCATGGGCCCCTGTACCGCCTCCTCTTGCTGCTGCCAGGTCCAGAGTGTGTCATGGGTCCCTGTACGGCCTCCCATTGCTGCTGTCTCCATCGCCACACTCTGCCATGTGCCACTTTCAGGTCTCCTCACACTGCTGGTGGGTTCCATTTTGTCATAGGGTGCTGGCAGATTACGGGCCTCCCATTGCTGCTGCCAGGCCCGTAATCTGCCATGGGCCCCCGTACCGACTCCTCATGCTGCTGCCAGGCCCGTAATCTGTCATGGGCCCCTGTACCGCCTCCTCATGCTGCTGCCAGGTCCAGAGTGTGTCATGGGTCCCTGTACGGCCTCCCATTGCTGCTGTCTCCATCGCCACACTCTGCCATGTGCCACTTTCAGGTCTCCTCACACTGCTGGTGGGTTCCATTTTGTCATAGGGTGCTGGCAGATTACGGGCCTCCCATTGCTGCTGCCAGGCCCGTAATCTGTCATGGGCCCCCGTACCGACTCCTCATGCTGCTGCCAGGCCCGTAATCTGTCATGGGCCCCTGTACCGCCTCCTCATGCTGCTGCCAGGTCCAGAGTGTGTCATGGGTCCCTGTACGGCCTCCCATTGCTGCTGTCTCCATCGCCACACTCTGCCATGTGCCACTTTCAGGTCTCCTCACACTGCTGGTGGGTTCCATTTTGTCATAGGGTGCTGGCAGATTACGGGCCTCCCATTGCTGCTGCCAGGCCCGTAATCTGCCATGGGCCCCCGTACCGCCTCCTCATGCTGCTGCCAGGCCCGTAATCTGTCCATGGGCCCCTGTACCGGCCTCCTCATGCTGCTGCCAGGCCGTAATCTGTCATGGGCCCCTGTACGGCCTCCTCACATGCTGCTGCCAGGTCCAGGTGTTTGTCATGGGTCCCTGATTACGGGCCTCCCATTGCTGCTGCCAGGCCCGTAATCTGCCATGGGCCCCCGTACCGACTCCTCATGCTGCTGCCAGGCCCGTAATCTGTCATGGGCCCCTGTACCGCCTCCTCATGCTGCTGCCAGGTCCAGAGTGTGTCATGGGTCCCTGTACGGCCTCCCATTGCTGCTGTCTCCATCGCCACACTCTGCCATGTGCCACTTTCAGGTCTCCTCACACTGCTGGTGGGTTCCATTTTGTCATAGGGTGCTGTATGGCCTCCCATTGCTGCTGCCAGGCCCATAATCTGCCATGGGCCCCCCCGTACCGACTCCTCATGCTGCTGCCAGGCCCGTAATCTGTCATGGGCCCCTGTACCGCCTCCTCATGCTGCTGCCAGGTCCAGAGTGTGTCATGGGTCCCTGTACGGCCTCCCATTGCTGCTGTCTCCATCGCCACACTCTGCCATGTGCCACTTTCAGGTCTCCTCACACACTGCTGGTGGGTTCCATTTTGTCATAGGGTGCTGGCAGATTACGGGCCTCCCATTGCTGCTGCCAGGCCCGTAATCTGCCATGGCCCCCGTACCGACTCCTCATGCTGCTGCCAGGCCCGTAATCTGTCATGGGCCCCTGTACCGCCTCCTCATGCTGCTGCCAGGTCCAGAGTGTGTCATGGGTCCCTGTACGGCCTCCCATTGCTGCTGCCAGGCCCGTAATCTGCCATGGGCCCCCGTACCCTCCTCATGCTGCTGCCAGGCCCGTAATCTGTCATGGGCCCCTGTACCGCCTCCTCATGCTGCTGCCAGGTCCAGAGTGTGTCATGGGTCCCTGTACGGCCCTCCCATTGCTGCTGTCTCCATCGCCACACTCTGCCATGTGCCACTTTCAGGTCTCCTCACACTGCTGGTGGGTTCCATTTTGTCATAGGGGTGCTGTTATGGCCTCCCATTGCTGCTGCCAGGCCCGTAATCTGCCATGGGCCCCCGTACCGACTCCTCATGCTGCTGCCAGGCCCGTAATCTGTCATGGGCCCCTGTACCGCCTCCTCATGCTGCTGCCAGGTCCAGAGTGTGTCATGGGTCCCTGTACGGCCTCCCATTGCTGCTGTCTCCATCGCCACACTCTGCCATGTGCCACTTTCAGGTCTCCTCACACTGCTGGTGGGTTCCATTTTGTCATAGGGTGCTGACAGATTACGGGCCTCCCATTGCTGCTGCCAGGCCCGTAATCTGCCATGGGCCCCCGTACCGACTCCTCATGCTGCTGCCAGGCCCGTAATCTGTCATGGGCCCCTGTACCGCCTCCTCATGCTGCTGCCAGGTCCAGAGTGTGTCATGGGTCCCTGTACGGCCTCCCATTGCTGCTGTCTCCATCGCCACACTCTGCCATGTGCCACTTTCAGGTCTCCTCACACTGCTGGTGGGTTCCATTTTGTCATAGGGTGCTGGCAGATTACGGGCCTCCCATTGCTGCTGCCAGGCCCGTAATCTGCCGTGGGCCCCCGTACCGACTCCTCATGCTGCTGCCAGGCCCGTAATCTGTCATGGGCCCCTGTACCGCCTCCTCATGCTGCTGCCAGGTCCAGAGTGTGTCATGGGTCCCTGTACGGCCTCCCATTGCTGCTGCCAGGCCCGTAATCTGCCATGGGCCCCCGTACCGACTCCTCATGCTGCTGCCAGGCCCGTAATCTGTCATGGGCCCCTATACCGCCTCCTCATGCTGCTGCCAGGTCCAGAGTGTGTCATGGGTCCCTGTACGGCCTCCCATTGCTGCTGTCTCCATCGCCACACTCTGCCATGTGCCACTTTCAGGTCTCCTCACACTGCTGGTGGGTTCCATTTTGTCATAGGGTGCTGTATGGCCTCCCATTGCTGCTGCCAGGCCCGTAATCTGCCATGGGCCCCCGTACCGACTCCTCTAAATGCTGCTGCCAGGCCCGTAATCTGTCATGGGCCCCTGTACCGCCTCCTCATGCTGCTGCCAGGTCCAGAGTGTGTCATGGGTCCCTGTACGGCCTCCCATTGCTGCTGTCTCCATCGCCACACTCTGCCATGTGCCACTTTCAGGTCTCCTCACACTGCTGGTGGGTTCCATTTTGTCATAGGGTGCTGTATGGCCTCCCATTTGCTGCTGCCTCCACCGCTCCACACTCTGGTTTTGGCCCCGTGACTGCCCAAATGAGTGAAGTGTGCGGTGATTCTAAGATCGACGGCACTCATCTGCATGTCATACTGACTGACAGTATTATTTCTCTTCCCCAGCAGACTCCAAGGGCATTTAAATTAAAGGTACAGTGTTCTGCACTAATATAAAGGCTCTCTGAAGCCTAGAAACCCTTTTAATAAGTTAATTTCGCAGCGAATATATTAGACTCGAATCGAATTTATTCCGCGAATTCGCCGAATCAGCCGAATCGAATTTTTGAATAATTCGCTCATCTCTAATAGTATTATCAGGAAGGCCAGACGTTTATTCTCTTTCCTCTTGGAATGTTGCAAGATCAATCTCAGTTGTGACTATAGTTTTCCTTTAATGAGATGCAGTTGTCTTAACAGGATGTCAAATTGTGCCTGCTCATTTGTGCTGGTTTTTCTCACCACACTGACTATTAATCAATGCTACATAGACTCTTTTTCACTGCTCATAACCTGCTATGCTTGGAAGAAGCTTCAAACATTTGTTCAGATTGGGGAGCTTTCACTGCTCCTTTGCTACTTGATTTCACAAGGCCCCACCAACATAAGTCTGTGTCGGCTGACTGTTTTATGAATGTTTTACGGATGTAGGTTCAGTAATTATCTTATGCTCTTATAGTCCTTTTAGCAATAAAAAGAGTCTCCCAGTCTTACTGAGATCTTTCTCTGCAGAATTATATAGAAAACTGCCCTGACAGTATTAAAGGTCTATGTGAGAATACAAACATACATACTCACCTCCCTGCTGTAGCATCAGTGTGATGCTACAGCTGTCCCTCTCTTGCTCTAAGCCCAAGAACTGAGCGATCTTGGTCAGCTCTGAACACAGAGTGGTGATTGTCAGTGTTCTGCCCCTAAAAGCATACTACAAAAAAAAACACAAAAAAAATGGTGGAACGAGTGAACATACACAGCTTTGAATTTGTCAAGAAGCAAATGATCAGCTCCCTGATCATTTGCTACTTAAAGAATAAGTTCATGTTTGGAACATGTTACATGTTCCATCTGTATTTAGGATAGCACATGTAACATGTTTCAGCTGCTGTCTCCTCTCTTCCAGATCCTCCCCTTCCTTGTGAGAGTGAGCAGGGGTTCTTCTCCCCACACCCGCCATCACAATTTCAAAACACACGGCCATTTTGGCGAGATGTAACCAGACTTATTAAACATCTCACTTCCGTGGATATACAGGATAACTAGGTGGCCTGCCTGCCCATCGGGAAGTACAAGGCCTCACTCACTGTTCAGCTCTTGTGAATGCTGTGAAGGAATGCGTTCATTCTTGCTGGAGAGATCCTAACCCGCCTGTGAAGTCTCTCTGGTTCACTAAAGTGAACAAGCTTAGGGATATGGGAGACCTCACGACCACCTTGCGTAACACAGAAGAATAATTCACCAACCCTTGGAGACCCTGGCAGTATTTTGTCTACACTGAGGATTACCTTAATGAGTTTGTGCATTCTGAATGATTTCTCTTTTTCTTGTATCCTCTCTGGGAGAGGATCTCTGCCTCTCTTCCCCCACTTACTCATTCCCTCTGTGGTCCATTTGCTCTCTCCCTTCCCATTTTCTTATTCCATCCCTTTCTCACATATTTGTTTTTCTCCCCTTTCATTGTCCACTTCCACTGTTCTCCTACTCTATTCCCGGACCCTCTCCTCCTTAGTCCCTTCCTTGTGCTCCTGTCCCACCCCTTTCTTTAATAATCTCTTCTTGGTCTAATCCTTAGTGACCTTGATTATCCTGGCAATGCTTTGCTATGTTATTTAGATCACTATGGCGTGTGCAGGGGCAGACTGACCATTTGGAAACTCGGGCACTGCCCGAGGGCCCGGGGTCAGTAGGGGGCCCCATGAGATGCCCCTGGTACCTTTTTCATAGGCTTTTTTGAGTTTGGGCAAGGACACAGGGGCCCCATGATCCCCTATTGCCTGGGGGCCCCATGAGTTGTCAGTCTGCCCCTAGCCGTGTGTAATACAATTTAATCTCGGCATATGCAAATTCCTGGCAAGTTCTACGTAGAAATGTTTTTCTATATCATGTCCCTGGCTTTTTGTCCTCTATGTTCTCAATTACCCTTCAATCCATTGGTATGCATCAATACCATTTCTGGATTGGATCAATACCATTTCTGGAACCTCTGTATTTTCCGTGGCATTGTTTTGACCCACTTTTCCTTGATTCGTTCATGGTTATCTACACTGCATAATTTTCTCTTAGTCTTTGTATGATGTATCTGTTTTTTGATAATCGATAAAGGAATTACAAAAATATGAAAACAGCATAGCCATGCGGTGCCCACACAGCCGCATCATTCATTCACAGAGTTCTGTGAATGACTACATTTATGGTTGACTGCTTGTAGTTCTCACTGAACTATGATGGTGAGCGCTCTTGTAGTTCATTGATACTTCCTGCCACTCAGTAACTGTCTGCCCATATGGGAGATATGGGCAGACAGCACACTGAGAGTCTGCAGGAGCCTGGTATTACACCTGTGATCTGCTGATTACAGGTTGCAGTGTAAAAATATAATAAATGTACTTTTTTTTTACCTGCAAAAAGCGCATTTATTATTTTTTTGTAAGAGGTGAACTTAGCCTTTAATTCTTTTTCTACGTATGTTTCGTCTATTCTCTAGCCAGACTCACCAGTTGTGCTTATTGAATCTCAGTTTCAAAATTCCTGTCCTGCCATTTGCCTAACAGAGAGTTCCCATTTCTCAATAATAAATGCAGATAGTTTTATATATGCCATATTTAGTGAACATTTTTTAGTTACAGCTTCAAGTTCTAATTTGTTTTACCATTTTCAGATTTTATTAGTAAATACCCTGTATTTTACTAAATATTTCCCAAAGTTTATATAGAAGACCAGCTATTATAAAACAACACCATGTGTTGACTAGTACATAAAGTCAATACAAAAGACCCATGTACATACCATAGGTATTTGCAGACTATACATAGAACATCAACCAATACTTGTAAGATTATTTATATTTAACATATTACTTTCATGGCTATAAGATCGTATAAAGATGTTGAAATTTCTCTAACATCTTAGAGCTGTGGCTTCTCTATTTCTTGGCAGTTGTGCCATTTCAAGCACATCTGTGGTAGAGGAAGATGCAGAGTTGAAGGGAAGATAAACCATATGAATAGACAGATTTACTGGAAAGAGAGGCATTTATGTAGACCATTTCAGCACCTGCAGCAGGACCTATGAAAACGTTGCTTTCATATTCATTTTGTAATACACATTTGACCTTCAATCATAAATACAAATACAGTCTTAAATACAAATCTTTAGATTATTCCTGTGGATGATGGATGCCATATGCATAACATTTTATTTGTTAAACAGTTATGCCAAGTCGTATAAGCAGAAGCTATTAATGTTATAACTTCATTAAAATAACCAATTATAATAATGTGACTAGGTCCTAATTAATCATAATGAATGTTCCTTAGACAGCAGACTAAAAACACAATTAGTAGATACTTACAAAGACTTCAATTGTGCAAGGTACAGAGCTGTTCAGTGATGGTACCCCAGAGTCTTTGGCCATAACCGTCAAAGTAATGATACCATTAGGGATTTGTTCATAATCCAGGGGTCGAACCACAGTAATAACTAAAAAAAAGGGTAGAAATTTGACAGAAATAAGAATTAGTTATACAATATAGAAATTGTGATTTTGGTAATTCAAAGTGTGTCCTTATATATGTTTTTCTTATGCGAATAGTGGCTTTCAAGCACAACAATCAATTGTAATTTGAAAAGCAACTTTAGTAAAACTCAAATTGCACTTGGAAGATGTGTAAAGTGCTCTGCAAAGTTCCATTATCGCCCCCACTGCTCAGCTGGGTTGTGCTTTAGGAAAACAAATCTGGATATAGATTGTGAGTGCTGAAGCAAAGATAGGAAATCCTGTCTGAGCTCCAAGACTTTCCTCCAGTCTCATGGGACAGGATTGAGCCAATCACCAAGTACTAGTGCTGTCACAAAACAGGAACGGGAGTACATCATTTCTCTCCCATATCCTTTATTTCAAGGAGCAGAAGAGAGCAGCAAGAAGCAATGGGAAGGAGTCTAGGTACTGTTGGAGATTGTTTGGTGGCT